TCGACTTGAACTGCGACGACGGCTCGACGTCACTCCTCCCGACCTCCCTTCCGCGCCTCGCCTCGCCCGCGCGCCGCTCTGCAGCGTCAAGGATACCGTGCTCCGACTCAGCGGCAAGGGCGTCGACCAGAATGTCAAGTTCAGCATGAACCCGTTCGATGAGATTGCCGTCGAGGAGGCCGTCAGGCTCAAGGAAAAGCACAAGGACGATGTCACGAGGATCGTGAGTGCTCGCAAGGTTCCGTTGCCGGCGCCTGGCCTGATCGTCTCATCTGCAGGCGCCCAAGGAGCAGAAGCTGACTTGCTCTTATCCCGTGATGCCTTGACCCCGTCCCGGCCCCTCCGCAGACGGTCGTCTCTGCCGGTCCGCCGAAGACTGCCGATGTTCTGCGCACCGCTCTGGCCATGGGCGCCGACGACGCCATTCACGTCGAGATTCCGGACAAGGCCCTCGCTGGGCCCCTCGAGCCCCTGGGTGTCTCCAAGATCCTGTCCGAGATCGTCAAGAAGGCGGGCGAGGAGGAGGAGGTTGGACTGGTCATTATGGGCAAGCAGGCCATCGATGACGACGCCTCCCAGACCGGCCAGATGCTTGCGGGACTGCTCAACTGGCCCCAGGCAACGTACGCCAGCAAGCTCGAGTTCCCCGGCGGCAAGGTGGAGAAGGGCGCCGAGGCGCAAGTGACCCGCGAAATTGACGGCGGCCTCGGCATCGTCAAGACCAAGCTTCCGTTTGTCATGACGACCGACCTCAGGCTCAACGAGCCGCGCTACGCCTCGCTGCCCAACATCATGAAGGCCAAGAAGAAGCCCTTCAAGAAGTACACGCTCAAGGAGCTCGGCCTCGAGGACGCCGTCAAGCCGCGACACGAGACGATCAAGGTGGCCGAGCCACCAAAGCGCGAAGGCGGCGCCAAGGTCGCCGACGTCGCCGAGCTCGTCTCCAAGCTCAAGGAGGCTGGCCGCATCTGAAGGACCCGGGTACTATCCCTGCCAGGCTTGCATGCGTACGCGCCCGATCCCCACAAGTGCCCGGCAGCAAGGCCCGAGCGTTGCACGAAAGCGGAGCGATCGACGGAGGGTCGGGCTCCTGCGACGACATCGTCGCCGAGGCGGGCCCAATGTCGGATTTCGGTCTTGGCTTGCTCCCTTTGTTCCGTGTCCCTTTGAGCGTCTTGATCGGCCCTCGTCGCTGTCTTGTGTGACCCCTCGACGGAAATTGAATGCCTGCTTTTTAGACGAAGACGACCGTAAGCTCGCTGCGACGGTAGAGACTCGCCTGTGGCCGCGCGGCGGCGGCGGGGTAGCACACACATGTACCGAGCCAGGTGTCGCCTCCGAAACGTCGGGGCGCCTGTCGGCCAAGCCAGATCCGTTCCGGCAGGTGGCCCGTCCACCGCCCCTGCGTCCTGTACGCAGGCTTGGAAATTCCAAGATTATGAATAATCTGATTCTTCTTGTTCTGCGTGGCCGGCTGCCTGCCCCCTAGCCTAGCCAAGCCGAGCCTGGAAGCTCTATTTTTTAATGAGTTGAGAGAGGGCAAGGAGCGTGAATTAGCCTGGGGAGTTGCACGCACGCACGCACCCACCGTCAGGAGAGCCGGCGAGCAGACTTCCGGTTGCCAGCTGGCTGCCGCTGGCCTCCCACCGCGCCAGCCTGGCAGTCACCTCAACACCAACTCTCTCGCCCTCTCTCTCTCTCTCTCTCTCTCTCTCTCTCTCTACTACCTACCTACCTTACCTTCCTTCGTTCGTCGTCGTCGTCGTCGTCGTCGTCGTCGTCGTCGTCGTCGTCGACGACGACGACCGACCTACCTACCTA